TTATAAACACTGTGGCGACAAGTATAAAATATAAACCTGTTTCATATGGCATCGTCGCATACGATTCTTTATCAAAAATGCGAAACTTACCTTCGCACCGTATGAGGAACGCCTTTTTACAACAAATTTGAGACTTTTTGCATTCCACAAAAAGTTCGAAAAACTTTGTAACAGAAGGAAGAAACGATTTTCATTGTACAAAATCTAGAAATTTCCGCACATGATTACATCATTTTGAGACTTCCACAAGAGGCACTCTTTCGAGAATGAATACAATCAAATGTTTCTGTTTAGAATGGTCTATTACCGGTAATATGACTAATGCACGATATGAACACACAGCATCTGTATTATCAAATGGAAAAGTATTAGTTACTGGTGGATTAAGCATTGATTATGTTGCTTTAAACAGTGCTGAACTGTATGATCCGTCAACAAGTACTTGGACAACTACGGGCAATATGAGTGATGCACGATTTCATCACACAGCATCTGTATTATCAAATGGAAAAGTATTAGTTACTGGTGGAGCTAACCATGGTACTATTAATAGTGCTGAGCTGTATGATCCATCAACAGGTAACTGAACAGCTACTGGTAACATGAGTACGGCACGAATATATCACACAGCGTCCGTATTACCAAATGGAATAGTACTAGTTACTGGAGGAGAAACTAGTAGTGATACTAATGTAAACAGTGCTGAGCTGTATGATCCATTAACAGGTACTTGGCAAGCTACTGGCAATATGAGTAATGTGCGACAAGTGCACACAGCATCTGTATTACCAAATGGAAAAGTACTAGTTACTGGTGGATCCAATGATAATATTGCTTATAATAGCGCTGAGCTGTATGATCCATCAACATGGTAACTGGACAGCTACTGGTAACATGATTAATGCACGAGGTGATCACACAGTATCTGTATTATCAAATGGGAAAGTGTTAGTTACTGGTGGAGCTGACCATAGTATTATTAATAGTGCTGAGCTGTATGATCCATCAACAGGTGATTGGCCAGCTACTGGTAACATGAATAATGCACGATTTCGTCACACAGCATCTATATTATCAAATAGATTAGTGTTAGTTACCGGTGGATCTCACCGTGGTGCTATTAATAGTGCTGAGCTGTATGATCCATCAACAGGTGATTGGACAACTACCGGCAATATGAGTGATGCACGATTTTGGCATACATCATCCGTATTATCAAATGGGCTAATATTAGTTACTGGTGGATACAATGGTAAAATGTTTTTAAATAGTGCAGAATTATATTCATTATTTCAAGCAAATTAACTTTCAGTTATCTTATTCTTTTTCTTATAAGTAGTTTAAATTCCAAACAATACTTTAATTAGAAGCATTTTCATTTTATGACGTCCACTAATTATTTTCTTTGATACTTTTATTGAATTATCATTTACTTTAATATTCGATCCCAAACAGGGTGTGG